AGGAACATCGACAAGATCCATGAATTGCTCAACCACTGCGCTTCAACATGTCATCCTGGGCCTTCATCTTCATTCATGCCTACAAGGCTCATAGACGTCGGCCAAGACGCATCTGCTGTTCCCCGCTTGGTTCTGTCCTCTGGAATCAGAAAAGATCAGGAGATCAAGTACGCTGCCTTAAGCTACTGTTGGGGCAATGCAAAAGATGCTGCGTTGCAGTTCAAGACCGAGAAAGAATCACTGGGGCGCAGGTATGTAGGTTTGCCTATCGAGCTCATGACACCAACCACCAACGATGCCATCACTCTTACAAAGGCGATTGGTCTGCGCTACGTATGGATAGATGCTCTGTGCATCGTACAAGACGACGAAGATGACTGGTCCCGCGAATCCTCCCGAATGAATTTAGTATATGCCCACGCATTTGTCACTTTCTGTAACCTTAACTCGGATTCATGTCACGAAACCTTCCTCGAGAGAGTCCCAGCGATAGAGATCCCTTTTCAATCAACGATACGGAGAGCTATCAAAGGTTCTTACCTAATCCGGCTACGATCAAGAACAGGTCACTACCTGGACCGCGGATATTACGCCTTGGACATGGCACTATCCAAGTGGGACAAAAGATGCTGGACGTTTCAGGAAAAGGAGATGTCTACTCGTCTCCTAATGTTCGGGAGCTTGAGAATCCATCTTGCTTGTGCTAAAAGCAAATGGTCTGAAGGGGATGAAGCTCCCAGCGACAGGTCTGAGTCTACAGTAGGAGTCTCGGAAATGATCACTAGATTCAAGGACAAGCGCATCTCCTCCACGGAACTGTACGAGTATTGGGACTGGTTAGTTTTCCAATATGGTCATCGCTCGGTGACGTTCGACAAGGACCGCCTTCCTGCTATCGCTGGGCTTGCTCGCATTATAGGAGAGGCGCTGCACGATCAATATCTCGCCGGACTCTGGAAAGGTGATTTTCACTACGGATTGACGTGGTACAGCGTAGGTGGTATGCTGTCGCGCGGCCTCGAGGCTCGCATACGCGATATCAAAGAAAGGAATTACGTCGCTCCTTCATGGTCCTGGGCGGCGTGCCCAGGTGTGGGGTTCATGACTCGTCACAGCGCAAATATGATCAAAGAGTCAATCATAGTGGATGTTAACACTGATACTAGTTCTGATGATCCATATGGACAGGTATCTGGGGGGTTCCTTCGAATTCGCGGGAAAAGGGCTCGGATGCCGGATTGGTTACCGAAGGACAAATGTCACGAGTGGTCATGCCATTGGACCCACTTCCTCACAGACACCTTTGATGATATTATTCATGTCATCACAGACTGGCTCCACAAAGATGAAGAGGCAGGACTGGAAAATCTTGTTGTAATGCTTCTCTACCGCATCGAGGACGATGATGGAGCAGAAGCACCAAGTCTATGGGCTTTGCTACTTTATCCTGCAGATGAAACGAATAAATATTTTCGAGTTGGGATAATGAGGGCTGAAGGATACAAAGCCTACAGAGAAATGAGGACTTGGTTCGAGAATAGCCAAGAAGAAACCATCTGTATTATCTGACGTGGAGAGAATCCAGGACCAGAGCAGATGTACTTTTGCAGCGTTGGAAGAACAGTTGATACCCATCAGACAGAATGTCCTAGAAATGAGACGAACGATACATAACGGCACTATACATCAAATCGATTCCAATCTCATCTGTGCCCCTCAAACACAACCACCCCACACCTGCTCTACTTCTTCCCTCTCGCTCCTCACTACTGCCCTCCTCTAAACATCTCTGTCCACCACCCTGCCAACATATTGACTCCCACCAAAACTATGCATTCTAAGTGCCTCGTCAAATCGAACACGTTGTCTACGCTGTTGTTCAAGCGTAGTATCGTGGCGGGTCTCGAAAGTGGCTTCGCGCTCCATTTGGTGCGCTGTTAAGATGGTGGAAGGGGTATCGCTGTCGGCGGTGGTAAGGTGTATACTCGGCAAGGCTGGACCACGTGAAGCAGTCTCCGTTTGCATGTCTAGTTCCTCTACCGACATAGCGGCGGCGTTCTCACCCTCTACCCCACTTCCACAACACTCTCCCATCGTCTTCGCCCCCAGCCTCTTCTCATCTTGAGCATCTACATCCCCTTCCACCACCAACTTCCTCCCCACGACCCCCCTCTCAGCCATACCCAACTCCCGCACTCCTATCGCCACCTCCCCTCTACCTTCGTCTTCACCTTCTCTCTCTTCGTTGTCTTGCTCATACACCTCCCCTTCCCCTCCTCTTCCCCTCCCCTCCGCTCCTCGCTCCACAACATCTCCACGCCTAAGACGCTGGGGATCAGCCATAACACGCGCTCGTCTGATTTGGTGATAGTAGTGGCGTTGGTGGTGTGGCTGTTGTGGTTGGAGATAGTAGGCGATGAGGGCGAGGATGGAGAGTATGAGGGCTGTTGCTATGACGGGTTCGATCATTGGGTTGTTTTTGTTGGGGTGTTGGGTTGAGGAAGAGGGTGGGGAGGTAGGGGAGAGTGTAGGGTGGTAGATTTGGGGAAGAGAGGGAGGGAGATGTAGGTATGGAAGCGTTCGTGTGGTGGTGTGATGTGACGGCGGTGTCAATATTGTGACGAGGTCTTCGCTGATCAAACACATATATATATATATATATAGAGTACAAAGACGTCCGTAATTCTATCTTGAAATGTACTCACGACTCAAGCTACCCGTGAAGGTGCATGCGGCATTCTACGCTGCAGCTCTTATAAAGCTCTCATGCAGCATATGCTATGCATACCTCCAGCATGTTGAAATCCTTCAAACCGGCATTAACTCATACTCCCCACGTTGACCCTGGAAAAGGCTAATCAGGTCTGCAGCCTACATCAATACAAAAACATGCTTAGCAGGTGACCTAACGTCGATGTAGGCTCCAGTCCTGTTCAGTCTTCTTCCTGTGTTCGTTGCCCCCCCTCCTCCAGATCCCTAACCCAGCTCCCCACCCCATCCCCCTTCCACCCAAACACATCATTCTTCAAAGCCCCCTCCACCGCCTCCGTAACCTCATCATTCAACTGTCCCGTATAGCAATCCTTACTCACAATCTCCATCAACGTCCTACACGCACTCTTCGCACCCCCCATCTTGCCCTCCCTAAAAAACTCAAAATCACCAATCTGTTTGTATCCCATGCGCCACTCGGACCAGAAGTCCGAAGACTGGGCTTTGCGCCGCTTACTCGCGTCGCTGAGGAGGTCGCTTTCGGGGCCGGGGGCGAGCTGGAAAGTCGCTTTTGTGATGGACGGGATCATGTGCATGCCACATAGTACGGGCGTGAGGCCTGATAGCAGGGGGAAGACAGCGGTGAAGCTAAACGATGTAAAGTGGCGGCAGAATTCCGTTTTCTTGGCAAAGCTGGCGATACGGTAGAGGAGGAGTTCGAGGATACGGGGCGGCACCATGAGATGGAATTCGTAGGTGCTGTATACGGTGATGGAGGAACCTTCGTTGTAGCCGAGGTGGTGCCAGGGTCTTTGTCGCAGGAGTTGGCAGCTGGAATACCGGGGTTCGCTATCCGGAGTCTTGTCAAGTGGAGGCTCTTTCTGGAGAAGCTCGATGTAGTGCATCTTCATCTCGAAAGCCCAGTTGTCGTTGGTGCCCACGGCAGAATCTACCAGCGCGGCCATAGTTTTGGGTGGCGCAGCGACAACGATACGTGTAGGGTCTAGACAGGAAAATGCCTTTGTCCAGATGTCGGTGACGGAGCTCAGCATGTGATCGTGCGCGGTGGATACATGCCACAAGTTGTATTCTTGATCTGTATGCACCACCAGGCTCTTGATGTGGCGTTTCAAGTCGTTCTGCGTGACAAATTGTGTGAATCCGTCGAAATCCGTTGAAAGATGCGGGATCCACGCAGCTCGCAGTGTCGCCTTGAGGTGTTCATCTCCGTCCTGAATGCGACAAAGTTGGATAAGCACGTCGTCCATAGCCGGCTCGAAAGCAGATCCAGAGGTACTCTTAAACTTGCTGCGAAGTTTTGTGTAGATCATGAACTCGTGGTTACTCAACTTGGATAGCTCTCCCTGCATGCTATCGACGAGTCGCGCATCCATTGGTACCCATAGTGCCTCCTTGTCCAATGCTATGCGGGCGTATTGGAAGAGAATTGGAAGCACAACCTTTCTCCACCTCCATGACACTAGGGAGAGGGTCTTCAGGGGTATGGAATCTGAGTGCGTTAATTGCGAAGACGGCTCGTGGTGGAATTTGGTGATGGATGGGGCTTGGTCTGCGAGATGCAACGCGATTTGAGCCAACAGCTCGTTTGGCAGGGATTGCATATTGGTGTATCGATAACTATTAGTATAAATGGCGACCGCGAGGTTTGTGGTCGGCGAGGCTTGAGTGATGCGTGAACCATACAGTTGAGGTAGTGTCGGTGGCATAATCGAGGGTCCGAACTTGTGGGCCTCCGGGTACGTCATCCGGCTCATGATTAGCACCCAGCAACGGCCATCGCAACTACCCGCGGTCGCTTCACATGCTACTACAGCACTGCGATTCCATACTAGCAGATTCAAATGGGCATCTCAAGTCCGAAAACAGATCAAGTCTTACAAGGGTAACGTCCATTTACTAGGCGTCCAAAAAAGACAAGGTCCAACACCGTACTCAAATAGCATCTACAGTAGTACAGCTTGACATCGAACATTCTGGGTCTCCAAAGTTGAATCAATGCTATCTGAATATGACTCTCGCTTCATTATACACATCCATGTTACAGGTGTTTAGTCTTCTCTAGGGACATCACACGTAAGTAAAGCGAAGAGACCTCCACCACCTCCCCTCCGCCTCCCCCACCCATCCAACGTCATCCCGTCTTTGATCAGCACCAGCACTGGAGATGTCGCAACCACCCACTGCGGCTTGATGAGGTTTCTACAAACATATTGCGTATGTTCAAAGTCTTCACGACTGAATGTTTACTATGTATACATAATCCCATCCTAAAATCCCGCCCTAACAGCCCCATCCAACCACGCAACCCCCGCCATAACCCCATCCACAACCCTCACTCTCCCCCCCTCCTTCTCCCCCAACTCCTCCACACAAGCCTCACGAACCATCTCATCCATCCCCGCCATACCCGCGCAACCCAGACAAATCGCACCCACTTTCCCCTTACCCAACAACCTCTTAACCGCATCCTTCATCCTCTTCCTCACCTCCTCCGGCGGCGCATCATGCAAATCCGTCGCATTGAGCCCCGTTGTCTCAACGCCTGCAAACCGTTTACCCGCGTCTGTGCCCGTGCCCAAAAAGGCTATTGTGGCATCCGTGAGGATGGTTTCCCAGACTTTTCCCGTGCTTACTATGCCGAATTTCTCGTCGGGGTGGATAGCTTGCAAAGAAGCACCAACACTAGCTTCGAAGATACCCGTAACAGGTTTTCTCGTATCTTTTATAGCGGGTTCTTCTTTGAGGAGAGGGACGAGCGGGTGTTGGCTGTAGCAAGCGACGAGGAAAGCATCGTGGCGGGCGAGTTGTTCGCGGAGAGCGGGGAGGCAGTGTTTCACCGACTCTGCGGCGTCGTCTTCGTTGTTGATGCTCTTGGGGCCGGAGGGGGCGGTGAAGTACTCGTGAGCGGTCTGCTAGCTGTGGTTAGTTGTTGGGTGGGTGTGGTGAGTGGTGCTGAGTAACGTCTTTGAACTGCAGGGCGTCGACGAGCGGCTTCAGGCCGTTGGTCATTTGCTCCGTGGAGTTTGGGTTGATGATGAGGATGGACCGCATCTTGCTATATCGTGGGTTGGTACCGTTGCGATATTCACCCATTGGCTTTGCTTGCGGCTGTGTGCCTGCGCGGTTGCCCCGCCATGAGGTTTGACATTGTGGCGCGTATGGATTTGGGATGTGGAGCTGTGACAAGGATGTGGGCTCTGACGTCATGTTCCAGATTGTCTTGTCTGTTGTGTACACAGCCCTGGAGGACAGATGATTGCGTGCGACGAGTGTGGAAGTGCAGTGAAGAACAGACATGTTGTATTAGGCTACTGAGGGTATTGTGAAGCATGAAACTGCGTCGCAGATGTATGCCCGTGGTATCGCCTAACTTCTCCTTGAATTACGCGCCGCCATGCGTATTCAATCGCACCAACGCCGTCGCAAGAGGAAATCATCGAAATGTGGGATATGAAAGCTGGCAAAGTCAGGACTAGTCACCGTAGAATGTCGTGCGTAACGCTTACAGGTCGTGAATCGTCGTCAAGGGTCGGCGACTAGCTTAGCGGAAGCAGCTGAAGCGTCCGCAAGAGAAGCGGAAGGGAGCGCGACGGACGCCGTGACGGTCGGCGACAACACCACCACCTAGTATCTTGTCAGCAACTGGTGTCTGTGTCCGGAACAGACGGCTCCAAAGCGGGCCACTTACCGGCGTGCTTGCCGCCAAAGCCCTTATGCCACATGAGACCCATGGTTGCTTGTGTTTGTTGGTTTTGTTGGTTGGTAAAGGTAGTAGTTTAGGTTTGGGAGTTGAGGAATCGCTTTCTTTGTGCAGAGTTCTTGTTGTGGTGTAGCTGGAAGGTGATCGCAGCGCGTGTGTTATATAGGAGGTGTGTGGGAGGCTGGAGGAGATTCAGGGCAAGAACAGGGTCGGTGAAGCGGTAGCTGCTGCGTCATAGGCTGGCAGCCAAGGGCTTGGGAGATGCAGCACAGCCACCGCTAAAGGCGATCATCGTGGAGATTGCAGCGAGCGCACACAGTACAGCCTCGATGTCTTCGTAGACCTGTGCGCGCTTGATTGGCCGCATCTGGATTCACTGAAGATTGCCCATAGTGCACGCAAAGTGGTGCGCCACAACACCGTATCTTAGAAGGGCCGAACTGGTGTTTCGTGGCACTCTCATGACGACGTTCGCGGCTGTGAACAGCTAGCATTGGAAGTTGGGCGTCTTTAGCTTGTCAGCTGCGACTCGATTTGCACGCGTACAAACCGGCTAGCCATCTGCAAACACATTCACCGCACATTTCGTCCCAGATAGGCATTAAGCGGAGACATGTGACAGCGGCAACTGAGCGCTTATTGATTTAGAGTGCAAGGTTGTAGCTTGCTTGACCAAGGCCATAGATCATAGCCCGCTCCCAGCCAGATTCCAGAAATCATTTCTATTGTACAGATGTCGTGATCCAAATAACATGAAATAGCCACCGCCGCCGCCGAGCCTGCTACCGGCTCATACCTGACGACATATGCTCTCCTCGCAGAAATTTATCTTCCGCCCATGCCACCTTGTTGTGCCATGGCGGCGTTTTGTTCCTGGAAGCGGTCGCCTAATCGCTGGGAGCCCTTCATGTGCTTGTCGACGCATCGCATAACGCAGCTCTCTTCGCGCGAGGTGAGGGACTTGCTCTCGAAGCCGTTGACGCAGTGGTCGAAGCATTGCTGGACGAGGTTGGAGTACATCTGGGATGGTCAGTATTGGGGTCGTGCAGGACAGAATGCGGATGTCGTACGTTCATAAATTCCTTCATCTGCTTCTTCTCCATGCGCGACTGCAGCTCGCGCTGCTCCGATGCTGTGAGTCTACATGCGATTAGTTATTGTGATGTCAATTGAGGCAAGTACATACGACTCCATGATGCCTGGTCGTGTGTGGTGGCAGGATTATTGTTTACGGGACGGTGGCTCGACGCGGAAATTTGGTATGACGTCGGGTGGTTGTCTGGATGCTGTGCTGACGAGCCTGCACCCAAAAGTGTAGACGCGAGCTAGGCCACCGGGCGGCCCGTCCACGCTCTCCAGTCACCGAACCACGGGAAGCAGGCGTGGAGACTTCATGGCAGCCGCATTCAGCGGGTCAAGTCTGGGACGAATCTTGGAAGGCACTTGGGACAGAATGTGGCAATGGATGCGTCGTCTCTCATCATTGATGTCCCGTCGCACCAATATTGTGTGGCTCCCGCTGCATGGCCGTACCAGTACCTGACCTGTACCTTTCCCGCCAAGACGGTCGTTATTATTGGAACCGACTCCAGCATAGCAAAATAATAACACAATAACATCGCCTCTTAATAGCCAGCTGCATCCGCTACCCGTATTGATCGCCGCTGTATTTTGCCGCAGAGGGGCATCGAGCCTCGCGTTTGTGTCTGTCAGTCAGGCGACGCCGTGCCGTCTTCCTTGGATGCTCACAATTGGCCCGCAGCCACACATCACGGCCGCTAACCTGCTGCTCTTCGTCAGTCGAGCAGCGGGCTGCCACTCGACTGCCTCGCCCCGACTGCGATCATTGCCCTCTCCAGACGCCGACCCTGCAGGCCCAAGTCGCCTCGAGCCACAGTTTCAGGCGCGCCTCGATATTGCGCCCGACCAGGCCGCTGAACCCTCCGACGACATCCTGCAGCTGTACCTGTACCCCTAACCGCCCGTCGCGTCCTAGACCCAGTCTCGCGCCAGCACTCTCTCGCTCTGCTCTCCACCAAGGAAGACGTCAATATTGCAGGATCCGCCTACAGGAACGCCGTCACGACCCCGCTGACATCTCGCGCACGCTCGCTACCTCGCTTCCTCGACTCGCTACCCTCCGACGTCACATAGCGGCCCCCAGACAGCTGCCGCCTGCCCACTTCGGGCCCACCTGTACCTGGACACCACGCCTGCCATATTACATACCTAGAGCTGCGACGCTCTCCACACCACCGCCTGCCATGGCTCCCGCAGGCACCCACACCAACCCCAACACGCCGCGCGTGCGCAATGGCGAGCCCCAGCCCGCCCCGTTAGCGACACCAGAACCTGCCTCGTCGCGTCGAGACTTGACATCGTGGTGGAGGCAGTTCAGCAAGCGCCCCGCGAAAAAGGAGGACGAGAAAGGTACGACACCACTGCCAGCATTTTCACATGTCGAGTCCGCGAGGTCAGCCTCGTTGGCGGCTGAAGCCCAGCAATGCGCTGCGACTGTGCCTGCAGCTCCCCGTCTCTTCTTGTCGCGAACAATCACTGACTGTTGTGGCCGCACGTAGAACCCGCCCTCCCTGGCATCTTTGGTGTACCCCTCATACAAAGCATACCCTATGCCAACGTCGCTATTTCGCTATTCAACGAGCACGGCGAAAGCTACATTTACGGCTACGTCCCAATAGTGGTCGCCAAATGCGGTGTCTTTCTGAAGGAAAAGGGTCAGTGAAGCTAATCCCATCACCCATCAGCTGTTAACAGCGCACAGCAACCGACGTAGAAGGCATCTTCCGATTAGCAGGCTCCGAGAAGCGCATCAAGGAACTCCGGACGGCCTTTGACACCCCTCCCCGCTATGGAAAAGGTCTGGATTGGTCCGGCTATACTGTACATGACGCCGCCAATATTTTGCGCCGCTACTTCAACAATCTCCCGGAGCCTATAATACCGCTGCAACATTATGACCCGTTCCGGAATCCGCTCAAAGGCCATCAGGCTGAGGCAGTAGGCGCCAGTGAAGGACAGCAGCCCTCAGTTGGAGGCTTCGATCCCGATGCGGCTGTGCGCATATATCAACATCAGATTAAGGCGTTGCCGTCTTTGAACCGGCAGTTGCTGCTGTACATCCTAGACTTGCTCGCAGTCTTTGCCGCCAAGGCTGATGTTAACAAGATGACAACCTCCAATTTGGCTGCCATCTTCCAGCCCGGACTGCTCTCACATCCGCAGCACGACATGTCTCCACAAGATTATCGTCTGAGCCAGGACGTGCTCATCTTTCTCATCGACAACCAGGATCACTTCTTAATTGGTATGGAAGGCACAGCTGTCGATGAAGGTACCGTTAAGCACATTGAAAGCGGGCCTTCTACCCCACAGGCAAGGACGCCCACCACACCCCGCAATAGTTCTGGCATTGGGCGATCGGCTTCGACCACTTCGAGCGCTGGTGCAGAAAGCCTTCGCATGTATGGCGGCGTCCGCAGGAATGTATCCACGTCTTCGAAGCGTTCACGACACTCGCCCGCTGTTCCCAGCCCAATTGCACCATCATTTGTTTCGACCACGACATCTGGAGTGCATCGAAGCAACACGCTGCCCTCAAAGCGCTCCCCGGGGCTTGGGAGTCCCCGCTTCCCTGCTGCAAAGCAAATCGGCCCTGAAGAGACTAAGAGCCCTCTCTCGTCTCCCATGCCTCCAGATGTTGCTGATGTTCCCGAGAATGTTGCCCCACAGCAGGAGATGGAGTTGCCTATACGAACGAAGGAAGCCCCACAGGCGGTCGCACCCGCAGCGGAGCAAATACCAGCCACACAGCCTGCCGATCAGGAACTGCCACCGCCACAACGTGCGCAGACCATGCCACCGAACAAGATCGAGATGCCGGTCCCATACCAACCTTTCCCCCAACAGGGAATGGCTATGCAACCGGCAGAGCCTTCACAAAATAGACCGGCGGTTACACCTGCCACCCACAACATGCCAGGCGGGTTCCCTCTGCCGTCTCCGGGCGTCATCCCACCGAGTCAGCCCACTACCCCGAACGTCGTCGCCCAGTCGGCCCAGAACCTGTTACCTTCAAGGTCCACTACTCCCGGTCCACGTAGTCCTCAGCGTAGTCCTCGTCACACGCCAACGCGTGAGCGGTCAGAGTTCTTGGAAGGGCCTGTCGACTCAGGCCCGTCAATTGAGATGACTCCTGCTGTTCGTACATTTACCCAAATTCTAGCTAAGGTTGCGGCATCCCCTCCGAACGAGTCCAAGGAAGCGAAAGACGGACGGAAACCGAACAAGCTTCAGAAGAAGAGGTTGCCGAACAGTATCAGCCAGAGTACGCATAGTTCTACGCACTCTCTTGGTGGTAGCGATTCAGGGTTTGGCGGCCAATTCTCTCACGGACCTCCTTCGCCACTGCAGCCTCCCTCGCTTCCCTTTGCCCATGGTCAGTCGCACGCAAACAGCTCTAGAGAGGTTTTGCAAGATACAGGCTCCT